ACTTCTAAGTCAGTGATCAACCACTATAAAATACCATAGATTTTGAATATACTGTATCCTTTAAGTCTATAATACAAGGAGGTTGTAAAATTATAACCTCCTTGCTATAATATAATACCCTTAGGCGGGTGAGAGGATATAAAAAGTACTCTGTGATGACAGCTTACAGTTTGATGATTTGCAAAGCAATGATTCACAAAGCAAAGCAAAAATTATCGATTAGCTATTGAGAAAATAATTAGAACCTGAACATATTATATTTATTTTTAAATTACATGTATATACATTTTAGTTACAGCTTTTTAGTTGTTGTTGCAGTTTAATGCGAATTATGACTCGTAACAGGTGGGCGTGAATCTAAAATGTGATAAAAGAGTGAGGGCAAGTGTAGGAGTAATCATAGATGGGACGCGCTTTAGCAGCTCTACACCCCTATAGAAAGTATAATTTTTTATTTTATGTAAGTAGGCACAATTTTTTTTTCCTTTAAAAACGTCGGCATGCGCCACTTTGTAACCTTGCGCCTCTAGGCACATGCCTAGTTTGCCTTAAGGATAATTCGCCACTGATTACTGTGTACATCATTTGTAATATATTCAAATATTAAATGGTACATTTTCATGGTCACAAATAAACTCATAAGGCTTTTTTTCTATACTGTTTACAATTACCCTGCCTGACCCTATGTAATTATTGTGAGGGTTGAGTATAGTGGATGCAACCGAATCTTTGACGCTTGACTTGGACGTTCAATTTCGATTTGAGTTTGAGTCACAGATTAATAAGTTTCGAGTCACAATTCGAGTTCACGTCACAAATTATAAAGTAATATGTATAATATTTGCGTTGTAGCCACTGACCTCTATTATACAGCGTGCTAGTATAAATGGAGGTCAGTAGTTGTAGCACGGTACTCCCTCTCAGCGGCTCCTCGCCGCCTGCGCCCCCTTTTCCCTAAAGAGGGTCGCTTCCGTTTTGGCAGAAAGGCCACAAAAGCCAATGCCAGTCTCACAGGTGGTGTTTAGTGGGTAGGCACTTAGGTTTTCGCAGTGAGTCCCACATAACCACGACAGCCGGCTGTCGTGGTATGCTTAGAGCATTCACCACCTCCCTTCCTCGCTTCCCGGAGGGTAGCCCTTTCCATTGCATCTGGGCGCAAAAAAATTGTAGCGGATGACAGGTCACAAAAAAATTATAAAAGTTTATATTATTTCACTTGCTTGCGCAATTACTATGCTCACTAATGGTTAATTTTTTTAATAACTAATTATGTGACTTATAATCGAACGTAAAAACTGTAAAACCAATATAGTTGTAGCTTGAGTTTGATATAAAATAAGTAAGATAATTCTATTTTAGTATGTATGGTGTCATACCGTCATATTCATGTATACTTAATTACGATTCTGAACTACAATAAACAAATAAATAAGTAAATGGAAAAAGTGTTAAGTTAACAAAAAGAAATCAAATAATATTATATTTATTTCGGCATTTTGTTGTTCTCGCTCAAAGTAATCTTCGAGGCGAATGACTAAAAGTCGATTGACTCCCCAAAAATTTTGTTTGTTCGTTTCAGTATGGTTAATAAACAAACTCAACAATTATCAAAAAGAAATTTATCAAAGCATAACAATCGAATCAATAATCGAAAGTAAGTAACATAATATTTAGTGACCGACCGAAGATTCGGTTTCGGTTTCGGTTTCGGCAAGTTTCGGCAAAAAAAATCTAGTTTCGGTAATAGTTTCGGTTTCGGCAAAAAATCAGCCAAACCTTCGGTGGCGCCGAAACTCAGTGTTCGTGGATTATCGTGCGGCGTTAGGATGAGTTCGTGACTCGTGTATTAATCATAATTATACAGAAACAGAAACTTTTTTTATTCAATATAGGTTGTAAATAATACTTATTGAAAGTCATTCTTTTGTTTAATTGCCACTGGTTCGAAAAAAATCCTCTGTCCTTGGAAGAACCAGCAAGAAACCCAGCGGGACTTTTTTTAAATAACAGCTTACAATCAGAGGCGTAGCGTGGACTAATAAATGTGGGCGAAGTTGCATCAGCGAGGCCCCTTTTCTTTCGTTCCAAGGATCTACTCAATAGATATATCATAACAAACATGCTTAGACATGACGTACGAGGGCGACACTAAAAGTGTTTAGAACTGGCCTACTTGTAAACGATATAATAGAAAAATAAGTTCAAATTTTGAAAATGGAACTCTTTGCCAATTCTATTGTGTTTTATTAATTTGTCATTTGTTTACGATTTGGCGACAAATTGAAAATTGTCTGTGCATGAGTTTAACTCAAGAAAATTTTCGTACAATGATTCATTATGAATTTCGATGTCATTTAAGTCAACAAGAAAGTTATGATAGACTTCGATTGGCCTTTCACGGTGAACCCCCATCTCGTACCACTGTTTACAACTGGTTTAATGAGTTTAAACGTGGTCGCACTAATCTTACTGATGATCTGCGAGAGGGTCCCTTAGAAAGCCGTTCCTCACTAAGGGACGGCCTTGATATATATCAAAAAAGTGACTTATCAGCAGATTCGGACAAGCTTAGGCATCGGTATGAGTCAAGTGCACAAAATCCTGCATGAACATTTAGCGGTCAGGAAGCTTTGTGCCCTCTGTAGTGTTGATTGGTGTCGTGAAAAATAGTTCAAAGATTTAACGGAGGTGACTCAAATGCTGTGTTCGACATACTAACGGGTGACGAAAGCTGGATTTATTATTATGATCCTGAAACTAAGAGACAGTCTGCTGTCTGGGTGTTTCCTTCCGAGGAGTTGCCAACTAAAGAGAAGAGAGGTCGAAGCGTGGGAAAAAGAATAGTGGCCTCGTTTTTCGGAAGGACAGGTCATTACGCAACAATTGTTTTGCTGATCGAAAAACAGTTACTGCAGAGTGGTACACTAACAATTGTTTGCCACTTGTCTTGGAAAAAGTTCGGAAGAAACGACCTCACAGTAGGATCCTTTTTCACCACGACAAAGCCTCGACGTACAACGCCAAGCAAACAATCGACTACTTGTCGACGTCAGACGTGGAATTACTGGGTCACTCGCCCTATAGCTCCGACCTCGCACCTTGCGATTTTTATATAATTCCGAAAATAAAAGAAAAATTTCGAGGAAAACATTATATGGACGCCAAGGAAGCAGTGACTGCGTTTCAAAATGCCGTCAAAGAGACCCCTAAGGACGAGTGGGCAAAGTGCTTTTTTCAGTGGTTCCATCGGATGCAGCGATATATTGATGTAAATGGACAATATTTTGAAAAGATATAATAAAACTAATAACTTGCTACTTTGTTCAGTTTTTGATTTTCAGTGTCACCCTCGTACCTACTCATGTCTATTAATTCCTGACAAGTCTCGTATTCCGTCAATGTAACTATCGCAGTCTTTGAAGGTCACGCACACGGCCTCGCAGTTGCATTTAAGAGGGGCTTTTGCAAGGCCCCAAACAAACACACTTAAATTTGTGACTTTCTTTTTCGAGCGTAAAAGTGATCAAATTAATTAGTCATTTGTGATAAAGTTTGGGGGCATCGCATTTTTGAGGGCCTCGCGAGGTCCCTTTAAGTGCGAGGCCGTGGGCGAGGGCCCACTTCGCCCATGCCTAGCTACGCCGCTCTTAAATTCAAGTATGTAACACAATTAACAAAAAAAATTATAAATAGCTTGGTAGTGATTAGCTCATTCCCAGGGGTTATTATAAACCATAAATTTCTAAATATTATAATAACCCTTTTTATACAAACTTAGTTTATTAAAGTTTTCGAAATTTGAGCAGGTTTTGTACATTTTCTGGGATTTTGTAAAGTTGTGTGTATATTGTGTGTGTGTGTAAGTGTGATATATTAAGTAAATGCTCTAATTGAATAATATCAACAATATTGTGGACACAATAAAATATGTTCTCAATTAGTGAGCAACTTTTTATGGCCGTGTTGATTTTTCTACAAACTTGATTTAAAAAAGAATTTCTTTACGTTAAATTGTTGATTTTTACTTCAAAATAAATGAATATTTTGCTACATGACTATTACAATAACTGTTTTGCATTAACATGCATTACCTATATGTATAAAAAACATACCAGATTTCAAGTATATAATTAAAAAATTAACATTTCTAAATAAGTTTCGGTTTCGGTTTCAGCCGAAACTGACACCCAGATCGAAGGTTCGTTTTCAGTTTCGGTTTCGGTTGAAAATCCTGTTTCGGTCGGACACTAATAATATTGTCTTCGAACTTGTACTCACATTGTGATCAAGTGACAGTGACAGTGTCAGTAAAAGTGAACCCATCGCAAATAATGACCTCACCCTGATGCTTGATTGTGTTTTTGAAGAATATTAAATATTTTCTGCCTATTTACAAATACATTAAATCCACAATAGAAAATCTATAAAAACGAAGATCCTGAATGACACGACGACATGGCTTAAAGGACAAGCATCCCAGCTAAAAATCTCAATTAAAAAAAACTCATTGTTATGACAAATAGTTTGCAATCTAAATAATAATCAAAATTATAAACCTACATATTACGTTTTTTGTTTTAATAAACTTTCTTTCTACCAATGTGACGATCACCTAACACTTTCTTTAATTTGCATATTATGTGCTTGGGTATTATTACAAGTGCCTAAAATTAAATGATATGAATATATGTTTCGAAGTTGTTACTTAAATTTTATCATTGTTGAAAAAGGAGAAAACTAAGTAATTTCATTTAGTTAAAGCAAACTATAAGTTTTCGTTGTACAGCTACAGAATATTTGAAAAAGCAATGCTACCCATTTGGGGTACTGTAGAATTTTTAGTTTATTTGAGTTAATTTACCTTGAAAAACAAGAAATTGCGTCTGTTACCATAAAAGTCACAATATATTATAATCAGGTAACATATATTGTAGTAGAAACACTTAGTCACGTTATGAAGAACTGATGGTTTATTGCTTTTCACAAGGTTGCATTGCAAAATGTGTGAAATACAACAATCTGCAAAAGATAAGCTTACAAAAATTGAGAGTTTAAGTATATCAACAGATATAGAAAAAGATATTTATGAAGCAGCTGAACCCACATTATTAAACATGCCTGTGGAGGTAAGTTTTTTCATTTTACTGTTATAAATTGTGTAGTGTTAATCTTAGCATTTAATATTTTGATCCCCTATTTATATATATTAATGTTACACTCTTGTAAAATATCTTAAATTACATTTTATGCACTAAAACAGTGAATTGACTAAACAAAGAAACTGTCTTTGTTTTATGAATTATTTTCTTTATTGTATATTTTTACAGATTATTTTAAAAATTTGTTCTTTTCTGGAAGCAGACTTCTTAAAATACACTCTAAGTAAGGTATGCAGAAGATTTCAAGATATTTTAGCAGATGATCATTTGTGGAAATATTGGGTCCATAGTAAAATAAAAGGTTTCTTTCCTGTACTTCCCAATTTAAGAATATGGGAAGAAGCACAAATAGAATGGGAAGAAATATGTGTGGAAATGGATGTTGAAAAAAATAAATGGGCCAATGTTAAAGACACAACCAAGCATGTAGTTGTTAAAGATGTACATTATGCATCAGTAGACACAGTTCTGCTTGCTAATGTAAGTATGTCTTATTTTGAGTGCAAGATATTAAAAAAATTAATATAATAAATTTGTTGACTATTCTACAGAGAGGTCAAATATGTTTATCTGGTGGAAGAGACCGTGGCATGGCGTTCTGGCATGTAAAGGATATAAAGTCGAGTGAGGGTATTGATGATACCACTGTACTCAGAGATGTTAAGCCACGCCACATAAAACATGATGCACATGCAGGCTGGGTGTGGGACTTAGCTGCAGATAATATTGAAAATGCTTCAACAATTTACTCAGCATCTTGGGACAATACTGTGAAAGCCTGGGACTTAGCAAGTGGTCTAAACTGTATTCAAACATTTAGGTAACTTTAAACTTTTTTATGTTTATCATATTTTTATGTAGTGACAGTGTAAGAGAATCCTATCACAAGTCATCCCGTGGGTGATATAAGATGTAACAGGAATATAATAATAGACCACAGTTTTCAACTCTTGATAAGGGTGGTCTCAAAGTACAACAGGCGACATTCTGTTTCCTCATTTTATTGCACTGCGGACAGTGAGTCTTTGACATTAGTATAATATTATATTTTAGGTGGTAGTGTTTTAGCAGGAGAGAGTCAGCTCACAGAATACCAGCATAAAATAGCAGCTCGAATGAGGGAATCTATGGATGAAGGCTATGTTCAGTAGTGGATTGTGATGTGTTTGATGTGAATGAAAAATAATATCATTAAAAAGCATGCTTTAATATGTATTTATTCTTTTAAATTATGGGCTCTCTAAATATAAATCTGCCATTGTTATATCAGTGAAAGACCAGACCACCTGTGAAAATTTACATTTGCATGGGATTTATAATTTTATTAGAAACTTCATATGAATGCCAACTAAATCTATACAAAAGACAATAAAATACTAAATATTATTAATTTCTTTCATTACATCCTATCAAAGTCCAATGCTGAACATATGCCCTCCTATAGATCGCCTGCCAAGTGTGGCTACAATGGCTTATTTTCCATAGCTGTAGATTGGCAACCATAGTTTTCTAATTTCTAGTTGTCATTAGGATGACATTGCTGCCTCTATCTCTTGGTTTGTTATCCTCTGTCGCCTCTTATAACATACACCAGACAATGGAAAATACTTAGTCAGGTCATAAGTTCGGTCAAAAACTTTTTATAAAATTAATGATACAGTTTTTGATAATTATATAGGAATTATATATGAAATGAAAGGTAATTTAATTTAGAATACAATTTTATATACATTATTCAAAATGCCCTCCCCTATTTTGAATACATGCCCTTAATCGATGCGGCCAATCATTAATCGCAGCACGCACCACACTCATATCTATTTCTGTCGCTGCTTTAGCAAAAGATGCTTGGAGATATTCCAAATTCTCATGAGGTTTAGCGCAGACTTTCTCCTCCAAATGTTGCCATATCTTATAATCCAGTGGGCTTAAATCTGAACTAGAAGAGGGCCAGTCTTCATGTCCGATAAAGTCAATTTCATGTGTGGTCAACCAGTTTTGCGTGCTTCGTGCCCTATGAGCTGGTGCAGAGTCCTGTTGGAATATCCAAAGTATGTTTTTGAACATTGTTTGAGAAAGAGGTTCCACTATGTTTGTTAGGACAGTATGTTGGTACACCTCTGCACTGGTTTTTCTGCCTTTTTCATAGAAAAACACCTCGGTTAAGCCTGAATATAAGACTCCAAGCCAAACCTTGAGTGACGAAGAATAATGTGATCGTTGAACCCTCGGAATATGCGTGCTGGCTTCTTCACTGCTGTGGGCATACACCTTATCATTTTGTTTATTATACCTTTCTTTGATGATAAAAATTTTTTCATCCGAAAACAAAATTTCGCGGGATTTTTTTCCCGCTTACCACCGTAACAAAGCGCGGGATCTATCCAGCTTAATATTATTGAAACGCTCGTTCAAAAAATGTCCGGTCTTCTTACGACAAGCTCGTAGTCCTAGGTCTTCATTGATCACTCTTTTGACCGTGGTTCTGCTTAGGCCCATCTGAAGAGCTAAGATTTTTTGTTTACGAACAGGATTTCGTCGGATTCACGCCTTCACTGCTTTGATGATCAGGGGTGTCGAAGCTTGAATCTTCAGTGAATCGTTTGATAGTGCAATAAACAAATCGTAGGGTTATTTTTAATTTTTGTAGAATATTGAAAATCTCTTTTGGCGCGTAACCACAGCGGTGCAGTGTGTGTGTGAGTGTGTGTATGAGTGTGTTCGAGTGTGTGTATGAGTGTGTGTATGAGTGTGTGTATGAGTGTGTGTATGAGTGTGTGTATGAGTGTGTGTATGAGTGTGTGTATGAGCGTGTGTATGAGTGTGTGTATGAGAGTGAGTATGAGTCTGCGTATGAGTGTGTGTATGAGAGCGCGTATGAGTGTGTGTATGAGTGTGTGTGTGTGTGAGTGTGTGTGAGTGTGTGTGTGTGTGAGTGTGTGTGTGTGTGTGTGAGTGTGTGTGTGTGTGTGTGTGTGTGTGTGTGTGTGTGTGTGTGTCATATGTGCTATTAAATTAGCTCTTATCTAGCATTGTAATCCGGGCGAGATCTTACAGTTTTGTGCACTGAGTGTGGCATTGTAAATAAACAAAGAAGGATAGAAGGGTTTTGATAGCAGTATCAATTAAATTAAAATCGAAGCGTATGAACGCTTGGAAGTCGGATCTGGAAGATCTTTGGGTTTTAGTCGATGCACCAGCATCACAGTCAATTAATCAAATTGCCTTCTGTGCCATTTACCATCTCCTGTAAAAAGTGTAACTTATGATAAATTTTATGACACTTGTACTAGCGTCCTGGAAGAACAGTGCCTGCATTGTATAGTAGGTGATTTTAATCTATTTTCCATAAATTGGACCTTGTTAGATGAGGATACTGCAAAATGTGAGCTTTCCACTGTTAGTCAGTCATTTGTTGATTTTTTAAATGTTAATGATTTGAAACAGTACAATCGTATAAAAAATAAGCGTTTAAATAGAACACTTGATTTGGTTATTTCAAATTTACCTAACTTTACAGTGGAACAGGCACTTTGTCCCCTCAGTAAAGTTGATAGGCACCATCCTCCCCTTGACATAAATGTTAAGCTATTGATCTGAATGACATTAGATTACCTTACAATATTGAAAATGTACAATTAAATTTCTACAGGGCTGACTATGATAGTATTTGTAAAGAATTAGAGAGTTGTGATTTTGTAAAACTGCTTGACGGGTTGACAGATGTAAATGATATGCTACAAATTTTCTACCAGAAAATTCGAGATGTTATTATTAAATTTGTCCCCAATAAATCGTCAAAAAATAACAACTACCCACTTTGGTTTGATCGGAATCTAATTAGAATGCTAAAAGATAAGTATAAAATTAGGTGCCGTCACAAAAAATATGAAAATCCCAGAGATGAGATTGAACTGCAATTGCTGAGTAAAAGGTTGTACACATATGGCCACAAATTGCTACTATAGGTATATAAAGCTAATAGAGAGTGACATAGCAAAAAACCCAAAATAATTTGGTCCTTTGTTAAGGCGAAACGTGGTGGTTCAAGTGCCTATCCCCTCTCAATGACTGACGGAATGACAGTAACTTCTGATGGAGTGGAAACTTGCGAACTTTTCTCTTCACACTTTTCATCCGTGTACTCTGAGAATACTGAATGTACGAGGGGTGATCCAAAAAGTAATGATAATGAAAACAAAACACGGTAATTAAAGTGAAAATAATAATTTATTTTTCTACATAGTCTCCTAACAAATCAATACATTTAGTCCATCTTTTTTCTAAACCCAGGGTTCCCTTTAAAAAAAATTCTTTGTCTTGACCCTCCCAAAACGCTTCAACAGCGGCCATTACTTCGCTATCGTCTTCAAATTTCTTGCCTCGGAGGCGTTCCTTCAGCAGAGGAAAGAGGTAGAAATCACTAGGAGCTAGATCTAGCGAATAGGGAGGGTGTTCGAACAGTTCGAATCCCGTTTCTTGAATGGCAGCCATCGCAACTGCGGCTTTGTGAGCCGGTGCGTTGTCTTGGTGAAACAGCACTCCAGATCGCAGTTTGCCGCGTCTTTTTTCCTTAATGGCCTCCCGTAATCTTCTTATTGGGTCTGCGTAGTAAGAGCCCGTAATAATGGCTCCCTTTTCCAAATATTCCACCATAATTATGCCTTGAGCGTCCCAAAAAACAGATGGCATAACCTTTCCCGCCGAACTTGAAACTTTGAATTTCTTTGGCGTCGGTGAGGAGGCTCGCTTCCAAGTCATCGATTGTTGTTTCGTTTCAGGATCAAAATGGTGGATCCAGGTCTCGTCCATAGTCACAAAACGGAACAAAAAATTTTCTTGATCTGCTTGGAACTTTTCGAGATTGACCCTCGAAATGTCAACTCGATTTTTCTTTTGCTCGTCGCTTAACATTGTGGGTACCCAACGCGCAGAGACCTTTTTCATATGCAACTCGTTCGCAAGGATTCTTTGAACGCTGCCATATGAGATCCCTGTGACCTCAGCTACATGCCTGATGGTCACTCTTCGATCTGTCAACACAACATCTTCGACTTTTTTCACGTTGTCTTCAGTGAGGGACGTGGATGGGCGTCCTTCGCGATGTTCATCTTCAGTGGATGTTCTGCCCAGTTGAAATTCCTTAGCCCAGCGTGCAACTGTAGAATATGGAGGAGCAGAGTCCCCCAATGTTTCCACTAAGTCACTGTGTATGTCTTTTGAAGACATTTTTTTCAAACAGAGGTACTTGATGACAGCTCTAATTTCGTTTTTCTCCATGTTGACTTTATCTCTTTGACAGTTCGTATTCAAATGAATGTATCTCCCGGAAATCGTGTTCTATTTATATGATTTTTTTAGGCTGACGTAGTGAGTATATAAGCAAGCAAAAAATATTTTTTTTTTGGATTTTTATGCGGACCTGAAGTAACCGATTATCATTACTTTTGGATCACCCCTCGTACTGAGCAGGATTATGTTTATGACCATTCAGAGTCTTTGAAATCAATAGAAATTAATAGCCTTCACTTAGCAAAGCTGACAATTAATCATGATACCCTATTAAATAAACTAAAAGCCATCAATTGTAATAAAGGGGCAGGTCCTGACGGAATACCTCCAGTGTTCGTAGTCAGATGTGCTGAACATCTTGTTAACCCACTTTTAATTATTCTCAATCTTTCTCTTTGTACTGGGCAGTTTCCTACAGAATGGAAAATAGCTAAAATCGTTCCGGTTCATAAAGCGGGTCGTGCGGATTATGTAAAAAATTACAGACCAATCTATACTATCAGTCTTCGCTAAATTATTTGAGTCAATAATTTGTCCTTTTATTAAGAGACATATCAATCTTTACTTAACCACTAGCCAACATGTTTTCGTTAAATCTAGGTCCACGAGTACTAACTTGGTACATATTACGGAAACACTAATTGAAGCGCTTGATGCGGGAAAACAAGTCGACGTAATATATACCGATTTTAGCAAAGCGTTTGATCGGGTCCCACATGATATATTGATTCGAAAGTTAGCAGCCTATGGTATTACTGGTAGTTTGTTGAATTGGCTAAAATCATATTTAAATGACCGAGCGTTTTTTGTAGTAGTGAATGAATATCAGTCAGACTTGAAAAACATTCATTCTGGTGTGCCCCAAGGGTCACATCTCGGACCGATTCTGTTTGGAGTGTTCGTTAATGAAATTCCAGAATTGATGAAAAGTTCTTGTGCGTACTTGTATGCGGATGACTTAAAAATTTGCAAGATGATAACGGAAGAGAATGATTCAGTGAAGCTACAAAATGATTTGGATCAATTGGTGGAATGGTGCAAAGTAAATCGAATGGACTTAAACATTAGTAAATGTTTTTATGTGCAATATGCGAGAAAAAGTAATACCAGCGATTATAGCTATCACATTGGAGATAATAATATACAGTAGTTAGACCAAATTAGAGACCTAGGGGTTGTTTTCGATAAAAAATTAACTTTTGTGCCTCACAATGAAAACATTACTAAGCGTACATCTAGGATGATGGGTTTTGTAATAAGAAATATCAAAGTCTTTCGAAGCTCTAAAATTAAAATTCTATTGTTTAACAGTTTGGTAAGAAGTATATTAGAATACTGTGCTGTCGTCTGGAGACCTCATTATGCTACACATTCACTGAGAATCGAGCGGATCCAAAAAAGATTCATAAGACATCTGTCTTACGCGCGTGGGTTTAGAAGTTATAAGAAGCGTGTATCATATGAAAATAACTTGGTCTATTTCAAAATGATTTCTCTAGAAAACCGCAGGGATATTATTGATTTAATTTTTGCTTCGAAAATTATTAGTGGCGTTATTGACTGTCCCGAAATTTTAAGTAAATTTAATTTGTGCGTTCCCTATCGCTATTCGCGTTTTGCTCGTAAGATTACACCGTTGACTAGACCTCATCGTAGAACAGTGTTTGGCTCCAATTCTCCAATTGCTAGAATGAGTAAAATTGTTAACAAATTTAGCAAAACAATCGATATATTTTTCGACCCTCCTAATAAGCTCCGTCGCACATTAAGAGACCATTTCTTGTAATATTCTATAAAACATTTTCTTTTCTTTTCGCTCTATGTATTTTTATTACTGTATATCATTATTATTATTTTTACCCTAGAAATAAAGTTACAGTGCTGAGATAGTTATTAGCATGTGGTATCCGCCTGTAATTATTTGTACATTTTAGTTCTTATTGGTTCATTGTATTTAAATAGCATGTAAGGAATGATACAAATGTTGGTGGATCAATAAATAAATAAAAAACAGCTGTCGTACCTGTAGTACTTTAAATTCTTCATACAGAGAGTTGGTGGGGTATGTGAATGGTTTGTTCAATATTACTTTAATTAGAGCACGTTGAGCCCTTTCCAATGTCATAAATGCAGTCCTCCCAGCGCGGCCCCAAACACAAATGCAATACTGCAGTATAAATTGGCATAGTGCAAAGTATACCTGACGTATTATATCCACAGGAGTACAAACTCGCAGTTTTTTCATAATGAAAATGAACTTTCGCACACGGGAAGACAGATTTGAAATATGGGCATCAAACGTTAGGTTTTCATCTATGATAACTATAAGATATTTGGTCATTTTAGAGCGCGCAATCGTTTCACAGTTACAGCCATGCAGATAGGTATAATCATTCCTGCAGTAATGAATTGTTAAAGGAATAGCAATCGGAGGACTGGTTCGTCTAGATTTAGAAAAACATATGTATGTAGTCTTTGAATGATTTAATGTAAGTAGATTTACATGTAAGAACATGGCAATCCGAGATAGGCCTTGTTCCGCGGTACTGTATACTCGACTCCATGTCGTATCATGAAACAATATTTGTTCGAGAATATCGTTCAAGTAAAAAGTGAAGAGATTGGGTCCAAGGGTACTACCCTGGGGAACGCCAAAATTAACATGCAGTTGCCTACTAGTGTGTTTTCCTACTTTTACGCACTGTTTTCGCATTTTAAGGTAAGTTTCAAACCATTGAAGTGTATTTCCCCTTACTCCAGCGGCTTCTAGCTTTTTCAATAGGAGACCAACAGAGACAGTGTCAAAAGCTCGCGACAAGTCGAGAAAAACACCTATGCAACATTTCCCACTCTCCACGTGTTGTGATATCTGGTCAGCTAGTGCTGCTACAGCTTCGTGGGTGGTTTTTCCCTGTCGAAAACCATATTGTTTATCCGAGATACTCGTAATCCCATTTTTATGTAGAAAACGGACAAGTTGCCTGTTCACTATCTTCTCTAGAATTTTCGATATGATGTTAAGTAAAGAGATTGGTTTATAGTTTTCCGGCAAGGTTGGAGAGCCGTTTTTGAAAATAGGTGACACTGCTGCAGTTTTCCAGGATTTTGGAAAAGCTGCCTTTTCTAGGCTTGAATTAAATATGTGAACGAGAGGAATAATAATTTTACTGCAGGACTTTTTAAGCAGCGTAACAGTGACATGGTCTAATCCTGGAGAAATGTTGGTTTTTAGGTTGTGAATGATTCGGCTCACTTCTTGTTCGTCAGTAGGATGCTTTCTATCTGAAAGAGTTAGGGTTAGATTTTGAACATCTGTGATTTTTGATAAGTTGGTCTTGAGATGTGCCTAAGTTACTTTAAATTTTTTCAGCGAAGACCTCCCCTACTACCTACCTACCCCTACTGAAATGGTGATTACATTGGTCTAAAAATGAAGTTGGGTTATTCAGATCCTTGATAAGTTTCATGGGCTGAGACTCTGACGTAGAATTATAGCATAGGCTTTTAATTTTATTCCAAAGACTACGTGCATTGTCTTTGTTTTTAGTACTCGTAATTTCCTTTCTGTTATGTTCAGCTTTAATATTCCGTAGTAAGAGTGTGAAAAAAGTTTCTATACCGCGTGTAGACCAATAATTTACGTTGGTTATTCGGATCAACTCTATACTCAAGGTGCAATTTGTCCCGGTGTTTCATGCATCTTATTAACCCTAGCTCACTAACCTTAATTTCAAGTAACGTTGTCACTAACCATTCGTAAATTTTACGACGGATTAAAACATCAATAATTATTTATTTAATCAACTTTATTTATAACACCAAAGCATATTAGCAGTCTTAGTTTACTCTTAATCAAATAACATAATCTGGTTTAGAAAAAAACTACACTGAACAATGATTGCACATAGAAACAATATGCTCCCTGCAAATCGCTTTTTTGCAGCCCTTGCAGAAGTTAGTGGTCATACGACGTTTTTTTGCAGGGCAGTAGCTGCAAGTTTTGCGAGTTCTAGGAACCTCTTGACTAGGACCTTCCTGGGGATCATGAATTTTCAAGATCTCTGCGATGATGTGCTTCAAGTTTCGTTGCAAACATACAGTCTGATATCTCTCTTGCAGCCAAGGCTTCATCAGTTCGTCTGCCATTTCTAAAGCAAAAGGCCTTCTTTTCAAAGGTTTTTTTCCATTTCGAATCGCATTAGAGACGTAGATGACATATGCATTCACTATAGACAAATTTAGGATGTCGTAGAACAAGCACAGCGGCCATCGATTGGTCTTACGGCTGGTACTCATGATCGAGCACATCTGGTCTACAGTATCAACCGCACCCTTTGTGGAATTGTAGAATTCAATAATTTCGGGATTTTTTGAATCGATATTGATAGCAGGTTGATCATGTATAGTAGAAATAAGGTAAACGAGCTTATTTGACTTCGGTTTATAAGACACCAAAGTAATTTCTTTATCGAAACCGAACATCGAGGTACCGACTCGTCTATTTCTAAAATTCCTCATTTCTTTGGGGATCTCTCGCTTATTGTTTCGTAAAGTACCTACCACTGTGAGCTTATATGGCGGTTTCAACAGTTCAGCGACCAGAGGAACCGATGTAAACCAATTATCTGTGGTTATATTCCGGTTCGACCCATAGTACGGTTTAAACAGCTCCTTCACAAAATAATTCGCTAATGGCTCGTTACCTCTGTTCATATTTTTTCCCATATAAGGCATAGCATTGCACATGTATTTTGTACTAGAATCAGCCATCATAACAAGCTTCAAGCCATATTTGTTGGGTTTATTAGGGATGTACATGAGAAACGGACAGCGTCCTCTAAATCCAACCAGTGGTTCGTCCACGGTTATGCAAGAACCTGGCTTGTACCATTTCCTGCAATTTTCTATAAACTGTTCCCAGAAATTTCTAATTGGTGCCAGTCTATCAGATACCCTTTTCTCTTGTCTAGTATTTCTGTCATCAAATCTCATACATCTCAGTAAAAAGTCGAACCTTTCTGCGCTCATGCAGGCTTTGTAAGTTTTTGCACTTCTCAAGGTATCAAACAAAGTTCGCGTTGGCAAATGGTTACTTTTGAGACCAGCAGATTGAATTAGCAGACCCAGCAATGCCTTCATTTCATTGGCTGACGTTTGTGTAGTAGTATACTTAGATGTTTTATACTTATTGTTTTTTATGTCAATCTCGGCGTTCGTATATTTTACAATAACGTCAATCATTTCTTCCTCTACAAAGAGATAAAATAGATTTTTTGGCTGTGAGAGTTCTTTAGCCATACCTGTAGGACCAGGTACAATATGCAGTACATTACGAGCAGCCGTGCGAGTACGTGGGTCTCGAGGTTTTGTAGACCATTTGTGTTGATTTTTACCATACATGATATTCTGACTTGGTTGAATTATTGATTGCTGCTGTGGTGGTACCTCATGTTCGGAACCCATCTGATCCGTGCATGATGTCAGTGAAGTATCATCATCAGAATCTATGACTAACCTTCGACTATCGCTGCGACGTGGAACGAAGAACTTGTCGTCCGACAAATCTGCAGCATCCTCGTCGCTTCCATCAGTTTCGGTATGAATTTCCGCCTCTAAATGATTACCATCCTCGGATGCCGAAGACTGTGGTTGATTATCTGGGATTGATTCCGTTTCCGAATCAACTAACCATTGTATAATTTTTTCATTTAGACTCCTCAAATGCATCTGAAAGTATAAAAAACAAAAACTATACATTTCAAATCCAAAAAATAAAACAATAAAATATCAAAAATTTGCAAACAACATTGAAGTCTATTAATGATTTATAAAATATAGTAATTATTACGTCCTATTATAACATAAAAATAATCTGTTCTAATGAAAATATTTGACTGGACTAAATGCACAACTTTGAAAAAAAAGTTACGTAGATACTAACCTTTCGTAAATTTTACGACGATCACACGATATATCCCGATCTAATGAGCGTGCGTCCGCAATGACTGATCGCGGGTCACTAGCGATGCGAATTAGGAAGGTATTAGAAACGGGTGCGGTAGCGGGGGTCGGGATCTTACCGAAACACTAAATGCGCAGGGACGAGTCGTCATTTTGACGAATGGTTAGTGACACAGGGTTAATCCAGGGGTGATCCAGCATTTTATGTTGCTCTTTCTGCGACCTACTTTAACTTCCTGCGTGTACTTATTGATTGCGTATGTTATAGCATATTTTCGCTTGTTACTTCATTCCAGTGCAAACTGTTGATATATGAGGCAACCGACTCACAGTCTGTTTTTCGTATCATGCGTACTTTACTTGTATGTTTTTTCTGTCTTGAAATGCGAAATAGCTGCCGATTTTCTTTAGTCAGCCGCTCATTGAAGTAAATGTTTCTTGCACTGCTAGTTATAACTGTACTCTTATTTGTAACTGTACATACAATTTTAACATGCACTGAAGTAACACGGCAAACTATGTTCCATATCCTCTCTCAGAAATAAGAGATCAGCGCCTAGCTGATCTGAAACAACTTTTGGGTAAACAACATTTTTTTTTTTGTTTAAAAAAACATTACCTCCACTAAGATTTTCTCCTGTCTCGTGGAGTTCACATACATAAATTTCACAAGGACAAACATCCAGAGCCAGAACAAATATTTTTAGGCCATACAAATACTTGTTACGTGCGGGATTCGAACCCGCGGCTCTTAGCGCTGCAGCTCATCGCTAAACCACTGCGCCACGGAGCCTTAAAAAATAAAAAACACTACACATAACAATGCATTAGAATTAAAAAGAAATTATTTTTCATTTCTCAGGTGCGGAATGACTGCTTTATCAGTTGTGACTGCTGATAATATAGTAATGGCGGGTCTATATTCAAAGAAAATACTTTCTTTTGATTTAAGATCTGGGCCTAATCCTATTAATTCATACAAACCGCACAGGGGACCAGTTTTAGCTTTAAATTCTTTTAAAAACATGGTGGCATCAGTAAGCGAAGACAAAACATTAGCAGTCTGGGACAGAGTGGCTGGTAAATTGATAAAGAATGATGTTAAGATACCAGCTGATCGAGCATATCCTGTTTGTATAAACTGGTGTCCATCCGCAATTTATATTGGTGACTCAAAAGGATCATTGCATTTATTTAATCCTGAGGATCATGTTTTTGTTCGAACACATGAAATATGGCCGGAATCTTCAATCATCGAGCCCTCCAATAAGATAGCTGGTTGCCATCAAAGCCAAGGAAACATTATTGTGTGTTCAGACCGAGGAGAAATTAAATTTTTATACAATTGTAATCCACCACAGGAATATAGTAACGTACAAACCAGTACCTTTGATGTGACCCAGGTATTTTTCTTTTATTGCTTTATTAAATTGTGTTTCATTTTAAACTAAATTGTCTCAGCCTATATATTGGCTGATTTGATCAGTGTGCATATATTTGTATAATTCGCTATTATCCTCACCCTTTCCAATTTTATTATTTTTTATGTCAATACAATTGATAATAGAGCACATTTTTCACTTGTTGATAAGTTGTCAGTGTGGTGCAGACATCTAAAACGTCTTCATTAAAAATACAAATTATACAACACCTGTGATAATATACTTACACCATTGGAGTAAAATTATATAGTTTTGTTGACAATAATTTGTTTGATAAACATTATAAATTAATCTTGACTAAGATTATTATTTTTGTCGAAAATTGTTTATGCTTCCTTACTTTCATGCACACATCTTCAACTAGACCTTGTATTTCGAAACTAATTACCGTTTACAACATTTCTCCAAAGTTTGTAAACTGATTTTTCTAATTTTTATGGAAATATTAAATTTTTGCGCGCACATTTTTTGTTTGAAATAGAGGTTCCAGTACGTTAGTACATTATACTTCAATGTTTTTACAGTGGGTGGGTCAATACAATGATTGATGCAGTCATTAAAATATGCAAACAATGTATAATATAAATTTAAATTTTCAACAATTTAAAGTAATTGAAGTCGCTTTATATTATTCTATAAAACGATAGGATATTCGTAATAAGCTGCGCATCTTCTTGAGGTATATAAGTCTTGTTTATTGTTTCAGTTGCGGTACCAAAATGGCGTCTTAGTTATCAGCACGTGCGACTCTGCTATTGAGTTCTGGATACCGAATGACAGTAATTTTGATCATGAGCTATGATTATACAACTTATGTTGAAATTTCAGTGACATATTGATTTATGATTATAAACGTGTTAGATCAAGTGTCAGACTTAAGAAAACGTTTATAAAATAAGCACCAACTGTTGACCCTTTTAATAGCTTAGTGTCATTTTTAACGATGCAAGAATAAATAAATTGCAAAATTATGACGTGAACTTAACGAAACTAGAGTTAAAATATTCACAGTCAACTCGGGTCGGTTATTTTCATTTATACCTTAAAATCAATTTCACAGATTGACTGTCTTACCTAATTTCTATTTTCCTTAACTGTACTCATATTAAAATAAAAAATCTGAGATTACAATTTGACTCCTATATATCTTAAGCCTCGTAAGTTCTTCATATTCTGTCAGTCTTGTATGCTGTGCGATTTATTTAGTTGCCATAACTGAAAAATCCATTTTGGTTATATTCCTCTTTCCCATAATCGATCGCAACGTTGTTTTTTCCATGGTACCAAATAGTTTTTCCATAGTACTGTACATTCCATTCTTTACAAAATCCTTCTCTGCCTCTTCTGCTGCTTCTTACATCTTTACATCCGTCTTTCTAAATACCATTTTTCTTTCATACAACTAGATTCCAAGTTATAAACTTTATTATTTAATTCCTTTATTTTTCCGTTTTTATATTTTTCACTAATGCTTGGTTAGTGTTCAAACATTTGTTTCGTGTTGGATTTGAACTCGACCGCCTCCCGCAGCGTCCGCATACAAACGCCATCGTGCTATCGAGCCGTCGCATTTTATTCATTATTATTGTCCGCTATGGTTATTTAAACCCGCATAGATTATTTGAGATTTAAACAGATTTTTTTTTACTGGTTCCCAATACGTAAACATCGAACTTTTGACTAGTCTTTGATAAGACATGTATATAATCAAAGATTACATCTTTGTACAACGCTCTCAGCAATAAGTCACCAAAAATTGTAACATTTTGAGAATGTTTGTTGCGCTAGCGCGACATATTCTAGACATGTATATAATCCAAGACAGTAATATTAACTAACATTATTCTACAAAATATATATTAGGTATCTTTATTGTATTTACTTTTGTAAAAGTGCTCCTGTTATTTGTTTAAATAGCTTTATAATATTTGAATTTCTACGGTGATAAATATACTTCTTTAAAAATACTAAATAAATTTTAATAGAATATAAAATTCATGCATTGGTAATAAAGGTCTTCTATAAATAAGGTAATTTGTTTTATATTAAACTGTTTTTTAACTTTATATTGTTAGATTTTTCTACAATATCCAAACACTATGTATACTATGAGACGGACTCTGTGGCCTTAATGTATAATAAGTTACGCTCAATTCTCCGTAAAAAGTCGACTGTGAGCGGGCGAGAAGACTTTGTTTTGTAAACCGCGAATGTTGTTTTCGACAAACTAACACTGGTTTTGTTTAATGTGATTATTGTCAACGCGATCTGAAATTTAATTGATATAAGTATGTAATTTTATTTCGCATTTCATCGCAACAGTAACTGTCGTAAATAAAGATACAACTGCAGGCATATTTACCGCGCCAGTTAGCTAACCGCGGCCGCGCCAGCGCGATCCACAGTTGTGACACAGTTTAATAATAATGAATTGCCGGTCTAATAGTATACATAAAAGTCTTTGACAACATCTATAAATAAATACTAGCACAAAGTATGAATGTAATATCAGATAACATAAAAATGCTTTTGAGCTTACGACAGTATTAAAACATTTTAACGTATTACTGATACTAAGGAAACGAAGAGAATTTAATGATTTTAATTTTGTTTAAAATGGTTGTTGTGGCTTATAATGATTAAAAAAATGAAAACTCTGTTGAAACCAGTAATAATTAGTAGTTCGATAGAGTGTTTCAAAATAGTTTTTTACTTCAATATGGCCTTTGATATTGTGGTTACAGTAATTCAGTTAATGTCCGGTTAAGCATCATATTAGTCTGTGGTCCGGTCACTTCTTCTCTTGAGGCTTCGCGATGGGAAAGAAATTGAAAATAGAAAAAATTTATTTTATTTTGTTCTTATGTAAAAATTTCTATATATATATATATAGTTTTTAGACAAAATTCTCGACAACTTATATTACTTGATCTCGTGTAATGCATACAGCGGCAACGTCTTTTTATTGTAGGCACGGTTTAATGTAAGAATCGTCTTTCACATAGTGAAATAGTGATTTTTTTTTATCTACATCATGTTTAAAAAGCATCACAATAAAATAAAACTCCTGTGGCTAGACTATAAAATGTTATTTCATTGATTTATCTGTATGGTGAAAAAACGCGTTTATAAAGTAGAGAGTAGCTATGTTTGACATTCTGATCAAAATCAGTTTGGCGTCGCTACTCCATATTTACAAAAATGGTTAAAACATGAAAAGATTTCTGTTTTATTCCTTAAAATTACTAATAACACATAAATATTAACAGTTATAGTAAAAATTGTAGAATCAGCCTAGACATTGCGTCATTGTAGGTTTTTTAGCTTTTATAAGTATTTAATATTAAAATGACTGACTCTCTGAATGTTGTTCACTGTGATACCTTGTTTTTAATAACTGGAGGATAGCAAAATTGCAAATTGTTAGTTCTAGCGAGCAAATGTAAATAATGTCGCAAGGGATGACTAATTTTATTGTACCTACGTATTTATTTTTCGTTAACATAAATATTATGTATTTCAAATAAAAACTTTTTAAATACTATAACTTAGTTTTTACTTATCATTCATTATTTTAACAGTATGCTACGTATTACTATTTACATAACGTAAAAGACCCCCCCCCCCCTTACTCAATGAAGTCGGCCAGCTATTGATCCCTTGAGTTACGTTTCCCTATTCCATATTTTTCTAGCTTCAGAAACCTCTTTCCTTGTACCTACCTATAGTTGTGCATCGAAGTCTGTTATTCACGCCGTATAATGGGTATAATAATGTTATGGAGAATTTAATCGTTCTAGATATGTCCTTGTACGTCGCCTCAAAGTCCCCATCGGAATCTCTTTAATTATAATAAGCGAAATACTACTGACTGACTGACACATCACGAGATCTCTAAAACTATACCTCAACCGATTGACTTGAAATGTAGTACAGTTACACATTTCGCAATGTAGACGCTCACTAATAACGGATTTTACGATAGTCCCATCAAAAAAAAAATAGATATTTTACATTTAGGTTCCGCAATAAAATATCGTGCGCCTAGCGAAGCGCGCGGGTATCTACTAGTAGTATATAAAAAGGTAATAAGGTACTGAATGCCATATCTTATTGCCCCGCCGTTATCCGCCGGTACCATGGAAGAACCATATAAAAAAATTTGGACCTGTCAGCAAATGACCCTTAGGATGCTTCTGGAGCTGGTCCGTGCTTTTCGCAATAAGGATGTGCACCGTTTCCGCACTGTAGTGTTAAAGCAATCTACACGCGCCCCGGTGTACATCCTCGATACGCTACAAAATCGGGGCAGCCCCATCAGTATTTTGAATACTGTTCGCGACGGCGAAAAGTATTTACAAAGTTATTAAAAACAATATTAAAAGTGAAATTGGTGACAAAACTAAGTGAAAAGTGTATTAATGTAGTTTTACAGCATATTTATAACCCTAATACGTTAGTATAGCAGGCGCGGTCGCAGACTGAAATTTTGGAGGGGGTCACTAATAATAAAATATGTAATGTAAATTAGACTTTATTGCACAATATACAAGTTTATTGCACACATTATAAAACAAATGGAAGTCAGGGGCTAGGCGGGGCAGTGCCCCGGGTCCCCAAGCTAAAGGGGCCCCTCGGCCTCCAAGAACGACGTTCGAAAAATTATGTACTATCCTAGTTGTATAAAGAATTTTCGAGTTTTAACTTTTTGGCCGTGATCGCGAACGGCTCGAACTGACATCACAAAAATTACTCCCACTTCCAGAACATAAATATAACATTGTTAAATATACTTGTCTACTTCGTTTTATTGTGTTTTATATATAGAAGAGTGGGAAAAGCGAGCATGCAGCTCACCTGATGGCAAGTGTCGACCACCGCCTATTAACAAATAAAACACCAGGGAAATTGCAGGCGTGTTGCCGGCTTTTTAAAAAGGAGTAAGCTCATTTCTTGAAGCTCCCTAAGTCGTATCGGTCCGACAGTAGTGATGATGAAATTTTGTGGTTGGAATTAATCCGAATAATTCCGCTGAACACTCCCCAGTGGTAAATGCGATAGAAAATGCAAAGGTATGCAACATCTCTTCGTCTCGTCTTCGTCGTCGAGGATCGAGCTACTCTGAACTGGATGCGGTCAAGTAGAAAGAGCCGGTACTAAGGAGCCCCCACCCAGGGATGAGAACAGTATTCCATGTTAGGCCGAACTTGCCCCTTGTAAAGTTGTAAGCAATGTGCTGCCATGAAATGCTGTCCCGCTCTGTTTGGCACGCCAAGCAAGAGGCCAATTCAGCCTTCCCTTCCAAATGACCACGAAACTGCATGTTATTCGAAATGTCAACGCCGAAGATTCCGATACTGGCTGAGGTAACAAGGGGAGTGTCCTGAAATTGAGAAGTTATGACAAAGGGGTTTTTTTAGTGGTAAACGCGCAAGTTTGTGTCTTCTGGGCATTGAACTTAATTAGATTTAGTCGCCCCAATCCGAGACACTACACAACAAGTTTGTTCAGGTACTCGGCGACGTTTTCCCGAGAAATATAGGCACAGTCGGTGTATAAAGCATCACCAGTGCACGTTATTGGTTTGCAACATATTATTGAGAAGCAGAAGAAACAGTGTAGGTGATAGCACGTAGCCTTATTGAACACCAGCATAAATAGGCTTGTAAATGGAGCATGCACATTCTGTTACGACTTAGTTGCTCCAATCTGCAAGAAAACTGCTGATCCAGTTGGACAAATTCTCGGGAAGCCCATAGGAAGGAAGCTTCGAAAGAAGCGCTTTGTGCCAAACCCGATCGA